TGCTGTGAGCTGCTCTGCTGTCCCCGCTGCTCAGCTGGTTCTCCACCGCTCAGCTGGTTCGCGAAGCTCTGGCTATTTTTAAACAGCCAGGCTTCCCTGTCGCAAACAAACAGACACCCTACTGCCCGCCCCCTGCAGGCTAGCAGCCAATCAGACACTCACTCAGGCTCTCACACTGCCCCCCCAGCAAACACACGCTCGGATACTTCCTCAGCAAGCAAGCAAACAAACACACACTCGGATACTTACCAGTCCCAGGCAAACTCCTGCTGGAGGAAGGAGTGACAGAGTCCTGGTCCCCTGAAAAAAAATCCCCCACCACGGCCCCAGGTCTGAAGGCATTTCTGACCTCAGGTGATTGCAGGGAGGGAAAGAGGCAGAGTGGAGGGGGTGGAATAGGGTGGGGGAGGGGATTCATGCTCCAGCACCCCCTCCCACCTGGCTAGGGTCATAGGGGGTGGAGGTGAGTGCTCAGTCCTGTGGCCCTGACCAGGCGCTCAGTGCTTCTCCCCCACCCAGTGGCCCTGACTGGGTTGGGGGGAAGGGGCTGGGCCCAGATCTCCTCCCCCCTGCCACAGGGAGAGGCAGAGAGCACAGAGTGGGGAGGGGCCCTTGGCTAGAAAAGGCAGACGGGGGATAGCCTCCCCTAGGGGAAGCTCCATCCACTGCCTATGGGCAGAGATAAGACTACACCCCTCACCTCAGCATTTCCTATGGGCTTGGCTAGGTGGCTAGCTTGTTGGCATCTGAGACTTCAGGGCAGGAGTGGGCAAACTTTTTGGCCTGAGGGCCACATCGGGGCTCCAAAACTGTATGGAGGGCCAGGTAGGGAAGGCTGTGCCTCAGCAAACAGTCTGCCCCCCACCGATCCAACCCCCCCATTGTCCCCTGACTGCCCCCCCCCTCCTGGGACCCCTACCCCCTAAACCCGCCCCCTGGTATCCCATCCCCTATCCACACTCCTGCCCCCTGACAGCCGCCCCTCCCCCCCCAATCACCCCCTGCTCCCCAACAGCTCCTTATCCCCCGCTCCCCGCCCTCTTACCATGCCGCTCAGAGCACCAGGCCTGGCCACACCGCCGCGCAGGCTAGAACACGGGGCAGGCTGGCGGGTCTTGCAGCCGCGCTGCCCGGCAGGAGCTCGCAGCCCAGAGTACTGGCGGCACAGCGAGCTGAGGCTGTGGGGGAGGGGGGAACAGTCTCCCCAGCCGGAGGCTCAAGGGCCAGGCAGGACGGGCCCCCGGGGCAGTAGTTTGCCAACCTCTGACCTAGAAGCTGCAGGGAGTTGTGGTAAGTGCCCCGTGGATCCCGCACCCCAACCCCTCACCCCCGGTCCCCTCCCCCACCCACACTCCCTCCCAACACCCCAACCCCAGCCCTGAGGCCCCTCCTGTACCACAAACCCCCTCATCCTTGCCCCCTGCCACCACAGCCCCCTCCTACACCCAAACTGCCTCCCAGAGCTCCCCGCCATCCTCCTGGCCCAGCCCTGAATCCCCTCCTGCACCCCAAATCCACGGCCCCCTTCCCCAGCTCGTAGCCCTCTTCCCCCCCCCATGAAAGTGAGGTGAGGGTGGGGGAGAGCAAGCAACAGAAGAAGGGGGGGGACGGAGAGCGTGGAGGCGGGGGGGTGGCCTCAGAGAAGGGGCGGAGCAGGGGTGTTCAGTTTTGTGCCATTAGCAACTTGGCAACCCTACTTACCAGTGGCCTGCATCCAGCCTCACCCTACCCCACCACCCCCAGCTACATGGTCAGTGCATGCCTATGGGAGCAGGCCCCACTGACAAGATGGGGACACGCAGCCTAAACTGCATGTTAGCTGGGGGGGTGACCTGTGGGCTGAGGTGGTTTGTGAATGCTGATCGGAGAACTCATAGGCACCTACAGGACTTAGGGTTAGATAGCAGCAGAGTGGCAGTTTTGAAAAAAGTCAGTGGCTCCTAAATGGAGGTGTTAGGCATCTAATGAAGCAGCTAGGCACCTAAATATCTTACAGGAGTCATTGGCCAGTTAATGGGTAACAGGAGCCACCAGATTAGTTACTGCTGATATTAAACCTCCTGCTTCAGGGCTAAATCCAGTCTCTAACTATTAAAGATTATCCCACAACTGCCTCCTGCAGTGTTGTCTCCCTCCCCCACTCCACCTCAAAGTATCTGGTACTGGCCATTGTTGGTGACAGGACCCTAGATGAGCTGGACCTTGCTGCTAATCCAGGCTGGCAATTCCTAGTTAATATAGAAAAGGGTCGAGTACACTATTTAACCCATATTTAACTACAATTTCTTAGGGACTTTTACTATGGCGGCATAGCGCATGCAAGCCTGACAGCTACACAGTGATAGAAGACCTCAGGCTACATTGACTCTGCAATGAAAGAGCTGCAGCACAGCTGCGGCTGGACTGGGTCCGACTACTTGGGCTTAGGCTGTGGGACTAAAAATAGCAGTTTAGCTGATCGGCCTCGGGCTGGATCCTGGCCTCTAAAACCCAGCAAGGATGGAGGGACTCACAGCCTGGGCACCAACCCGAGCCTGATCGTCTCTACTTTAGTCTATTTTTAGTCCCAGAGCCTGAGTCGCAGCCAAGGGACTGGGCTCTGAGACTGTGTGCTGCCAGTTTCTTTTTGCAGTGTAGACATACCCTAACAGTGCTATATTTTACCACGTCCAAAATCCTTTTAGCATTAAACCAATAATAAAGTCACTAAAAGGCAGGTCACTATGGCAGCTTAGAAGCCATTGTAATCTATAACAAAATCTTTTACAGTGACAATTAACATGTTCTGTAAATCAATTTGACTAAAGTTCACCAATTTTAGCACTATGTGTGGGCTATGCCGCCAGTAGCCAGGGTGAAATGGCTCTTCACATAATCAGTTTAAAAATCCATTCTTTTCTTTCTAAGGTGCCATGACATAACATGAGAGGAATAAAACACAGTCACTAAGGGTATGTCTTCACGGTAGCTGGGACCATGCCTGCCTGCCCACAAGCTACCTCTGCTCAAGCTAATGTGCTTAAAATAGCGGTGTGGACATTATGACACAGGCTAGCCACGTGAGTAGGGATCTGGTGGGGCCAGTGGGGGTGTCAAGAGGGCTTGTACTCCGGTGACTAGCCCATGGCACTGCTTGTGCCACAACATCCTCAGTGCTCGTTTTTAGTAGGTGACCTCAACTTGAGCTAGTGTGTGTCTGTCTACCTAGGCTGGGAGGCTCACCCTAAACATCTGAAGAAGTGGCTTTTTTACCCATGAAAGTTTATGCCCAAATAAATCTATTAGTCTTTAAGGTGCCCCCAGACTCCTTGTCACCCTAAACTGAGAGTCGGGACCCCAAAGCAGGTCATGACCCCATTTTAATGGGGTTGTGAGGGCTGGCTTAGACTTGCTGGGGCCCAGGACTGAAGCTGAAGTCTGAGCCCCAGCACCCGGGGACAAAGCCCGAGCTGCACCACCTAGGGCAGAAGCTGAAGTCCGAGTGCTTCAGCCCTGGGTTGCTGGGCTCAGGTTACAGGCCCCTTGCCTCAGCTTTGCCCCCACCCTTGCCCGGGTGATGAGGCTCAGGCTTTGCCCCCCTCACCCCCCCCCCAATCTGAGGCAGCAGGGCTCAGGCAGGCTCAAGCTTCGGTCCCCCCTTCTGGAGTTGTGTAGTAATTTTTGTTGTCAGAAGAGGGTCATGGTGCAATGAAGTTTGAGAACCCCTTCTCTAAATGGTGGAAATTAAACATCAGCTGAAAATTGGCCAGAGAATGGGGGAAAATAATGGGCAAGTAGTGTAACTTGTACTAGTTTTGCATTCAGGGGTTTGCAGACTGAAGGGGTAAGCAGCAGGGGGAAAATACCAACTGAGACAAAAGGAGAAGGACTGCTCTATCCTACTTGCTGCATCCCTTCCACCTCCTTGCAGTTATGGTTTAGACTCCACTGAATGCTAAATTGGTGCAAATTATGCTATGTGATCCATTTTCTAACCACATGCCACCACTGTTTATGTCCTGGCTGAGTATGAAGCAGAGACTTCCACAGGAGGTGCAGCTACTCCCATCAGGTGTGAATTTGGGCAAATTGTGTACACCCAGTGTGATCCCACTGCCTCGGGGTATTGCACCTCACTTTTGAGTTTCCTGACTTTTGACATTTTAAGATCAACCATTAATAATAGTTTTGGTTTCACTGTACAATGAAGGAGCTTTATCGCCTGAATTATAGTACTCATGTAATAAGTAAATTACTCCCAGAAATTACTTTGAAAAAGTGATTGAGTTTTAGTAGTTGGGAGTTGAAAGGACAAATAACACAGGAAAAGAAAAGGAGTACTTGTGGCACCTTAGCGACTAACAAATTTATTTGAGCATAAGCTTTCGTGAGCTACAGCTCACTTCATCGGATGAATAAATAAATTTGTTAGTATCTAAGGTGCCACAAGTACTCCTTTTCTTTTTGCGAATACAGACTAACACGGCTGCTACTCTGAAACAGGAAATGAAATCCATCTTTCTGTGCAAGCCATTATAACCCAATAAGACCCACTGTGATTTATATAGAACTATTAGTGTCCACCACTGTAATTCACAGGAACTAGCCACATGTGCATCATGAAGAACCTGCCCTGTTTGCTACTTTTTGTCCTCAAGAGGACAGTCTCAGAACCACTGATCTCAATCCACTCAGGCTCCTAACCTCACTGTGACCCAGGATCTATGAGAAGAAAGTTACTGGGGAAATAGATAGGAGAGAGTTTGAAGTGGTAATGTTATATCTCATGTAATTGATGCCAAACAATTTCTATTCTGCTGGTTGGTGTAGACTTAGGAACATCACGTAAGTACCTATCGTAGGGGAAGGATTCAGTTCATGTACTCTTAATCCATTGCAGGCTGTCTTGCAGATTGCATCTGGAAATGGGAGCATTACAGAGTTAGTGGGAAATATAAAAGGCCAAACAGAATGATGGAGTTACTGAGAGTCCTCTGACCTCCTGAAGTGGCCCCTCTCATTTTTCAGTCTTAATTATATGCACAGTGCCACAGATGGTGGCGATATCCCAGGATACAATCTAGTAAACCTTGCCCTGCCCTCTACTCCCTCTCCATTAAGAAAGAGCAGCCTGACATCATAGCAGCAAGTGCACATTTACATCAAAAGGAATCTTCTTTGTCATTTTCATATTAATGTGAAATGTCAGATTGTACCGTCTCTCACATGATCATCACACGGGAATTTTTTTGCCGTTAAAGACTCTATATTGGAGTGGAGCCCGGCAATTTAAAAAGAAATACAACATTTACAGATCAAATATTAATTACATGCTCAATAGAATCATATTTTTCAAAGGAAAAAACTTATAAACAAGAAGCTAGACCTTTCTATACGACCAGCAATAAATTTTGGGTTTGTAGGCTTATGAAAGATAATCACATAATTGTGAATTAGAAAAATACTGGCCTAGCCTGCATAAAAACCTCCATTAAATAAGTATTTTAAGTTTTCACTATGAAAATTCAGTGGCAACGTGCTTTAAAAAACTATAATGAATTAAACATCCCATTAACGATAGTCAAGTTGTTTTTTACAGATCACATACTTTACAGGAGGTGAGCTGGCCAGACAATGTTAATTATTGGATTATGATACAATTGGATACAAAATGTCCTTTTATGTATTTCTTCGCAAGAACTTCCTGAATATTGTAGCAGTTTCCACCCACAAATCCTGTTAACCTTGCTTTTTTAGATTGCTTTGCTCTTCTGCGAGGTTCAGTACCCTGAAGCCTGATACAGTAGGTGATTGTGATTGCAGTCTTGTGCGTTCATTCCTCAGAACACGGGTTTAATCTCCAGGTGATTTATCGTAAGTGATTCTGGTTTCCAGTCTGGTTGAAAAAAGTGAATATTGAATGTCCGTGCCCAGTTCTCAAACACTCGTTTCTCTGTGATAAAACGATGATGGCTGCCCTTTCGTCCCCGCTCGTGTGAAATGTACATTGTACATTCATCAGGTCCCAAAGGTTCATAATAATGATAAGGTACTGAAGAATGATTAGGATCCCTGTGGAAAAAAGAAAATAGATGGAAGCCCAAGATGTTCTTCGTACTGATTGAAAAAAGATGCTATCTTAAATAAGCTGGTGGGCGCAAATCATTTTTTGTCCCAGTTAAACTGAATTTCCTGCAGCTGGTATTTTTCTAGCATAGTTCAGCAGTATCTGAATGAAGCAAAGGTGGTTTTCTTTTTCCTTCCTTTTAAAAGAGTGACTCCACTGGCTCAAAAACAAGGGAGGGTGTGCGCATGGCAGTGCCACATTGCTGCACTGAAATTTGAAGCACGGTGCTTAAAAGTTACTCACACCTTCTTGTCAACTGTCTGTAATGGGCCACTCTCTTACCACTTCAAAAGTTATTTCTCCTCCCTTGGTATCCTGCTGTTAATTGATTTATCTCATTAGACTGACCTAACACTTGGTAAAGCCAACCCACATCCTTTCATGTATTTATACCTGTTCCTGTATCTTTTACTTCATTCAGCTGATGAAGTGAGTTCTAGCCCACGAAAGCTTACGCCCAAATAAATGTGTCAGTCTCTAAGGGGCCACAAGGACTCATTGTTTTTGCTGATACAGACTAACACGGCTACCACTGAAAACTATATTCAGTTTTTAACTCGAGAGGAGAGGTGCACACTCTATTGAACTGGGGGAAGGGGAGGAGTTGATCCCAGTCACTTCATTCTCTCACACCTGCTTGTGTGAATATTCTCCCACCATGGTGCCAGGGATATAACCACACAACTTCATTAGCGCTTCCCACGTATATCAGGTTGATGATGCAACCCTCTCTTGCTGACTTTTTAATCAAATGGAACCAATGCACAAATGAGTTCCTTCTATTATAGTATCAACTTTCATATACGTAGGGGGCAAAAATTAAAGCCATTCACACAGGGCATCTCTTAGACCTTGTAACCCCATGCACATCAACCTGCAGGGATGCCACAGAGCACAACATTTTAAGTAGAGAGAGATTTATATGAGACATGGATCATTTTAACAATTTTCAACTCACTGATGGTACCTGCTACAGAAAAGGTGTTTGGTTTTAATTCTCACACCATACTTTGGTTGCCCTGTTTGATTGTCTATATCAGCCAGTATGTTGTTTTGAAAAATATACATATTACCCTCCAAAATGCCTTTAATATGGGCATGGCTAATTTGATCTCACAAGAAAACCTATCCAAGCCAGTGTTACTACTGGAGCTTAAATGGAGTGCATATGGTCAATACAAAACAACTCTAGTGTAGGGCTGTTTTCTGGCTGATGCAGTGCTCCCATAATTCCTCTGTGCCTCACTCCTTCCTGCCCCCAGGACGGGCCAGAATGCACTACTCTGACTATTATGTACCAACATAATGGTCCACACAAGGTTGTTCCCACGGGTGAAAGTAACTTGGAGTCTTGAGCAGGGGGGCATGGCCTTGACCAGAAGAGGCAGGGCCTTTAACTACCCAGGCCCTTTAAATCACCCCTGGAGCTCCCAGCTGCACAGGCAGCTGGGAGCCCCGGCGCAATTTAAAGGGCCCGGGGCTCTGGCCACCACTACCGCAGTGGAGCTCCAGGCCCTTTAAATCACTGCCAGAGCCCTTCCACCAGGGGCTCCCACAGCAGGGCTCGGGTGGTGCTTTAAAGGGCCTGGGGCTCCGGCTGCTGCGGGGAGCCTGGGGCCCTTTAAAGTGTCAGCCTGGGGAAGCCGGTCCGGTGCGGCACGGCATACTGGCTCTTGCCGGTATACTGTACCGGCTTACTTTCACCTCTGGTTGTTCCAAGTTGTTGCAACTCGGAGGAGCTATGAAGTTGCTCTAAGCTGTGTGCTGAGCTGGCCCCTGATATGGCACATGAATAGACCAATGCAGAATCAGGGCTGGCAGCTGTAATGCCAAGGTTATTACTTTCCATTTGAAAAAGGAACTATTTAATGTTTGATCTCAATTTCAATCAAATATACAAACAATATCTAAAGTATTTTGGTATTGCCCATTATTTCTATTGTATAGCATCTGTCACCTGCACAATTCTCTGGCTAATTTTCCTTATTTCACCATTCTCTATATTGTATGTGCAGCAGTCATGTAAAAAATTGCTGGTGCTTTCCATTTATCCCTCAGATTAACATTTTAATTCAATCAGTCTGGCTTTCTCATAACACAATACAATACTGAGATCAATCCTCCAGCACCACACTAACAATAAAATTACATTTCTAAAAACAAGATTGATTCTGTTCTTATTGTACACAGCCTCACTGGAATATGTATGAGAACTTAAAAAAAATACAAAGAAAAAACAAAAAACCCATTAGTACTTCATCTACAGACCCCGATTTTTTTAATTTTAAAAATCCATGTTTATATATGTATTTAATATAGATGGTTTCATCTATCACCAAGGTAGATTTCTAGATCTCTATTTCAAATGAATGTCACACGCTAAGTTTATTATAAAAGGTCCAATGTATTAAAAAGAAAAATAAATCTCCTAGCTGAGTGGTTTATACTGTTGCCATAAATCTAACAGGGTATATTTTTAATGTGGTATTCAAAAAGAAACTACTATGTATATAGGCATGTGCATATAATTTAGATTATTGCTCCTTTACATGTATTCGCCTCCGCACCCCCCTGCCACACTTTCTCTACTGTAAATCTGGAGTAACTGTTTAAGTCACTGGAAATACTCGGCTGTAAAATCAGTGTGTGTGAGATCAGAATCAGGTCCATGGTATCCATCTAACTAATACTTTTACTGTGGTAACAAATTAACTGCTTAGGGTCCACTCCTGCTAAAACTTCCAGGCTTACTGGCTCTGGCACTTCCTAGGCTTTTAAACAGCATCTTGGAGTCTGCATCATATTAAAAAGGGTGGATATCCAGCATGTTGGATTAGACAAGAATTCCTTTTTCTCATCATATGGAAAAATAAAAGCTTATTAGGAAGATACTCCCTATTTAAAGGGGTTAGTTCAAAGCTACAGTTGTAGAAACACATGTAGACTTCAGAGTCTGGAGTTGGGACCTGGATGGTCCCAAGAACTTGGAACAGAAGAGCAAATGAAGCAAATAATTTATTTGTATTATGTCTCTTCCCCCTCTCTCCTTGTGCCTCTACCTTGAGTTTAACTCCCATGGATCTTATTTTTTGCTTTGTTTGAGGGCTTCAATAGCAGGCCAAACTTTCCTATGTAGGAAGGCCTATATCTTGTGCTGGCTGGGGCCTATAGTTACTTCATAACAATGTGTTATTTTAGACCCAGATCTTGTGAATAACTCCACACTGGCTTCAGTGGGACTCTGTATGGGTACAGATGTCCACTCATGAGCAGTCACTTCCAGGATCGGGTTCCAGAAATTCCAGGTTATTCCATTTAATACAGTGGTGACTACTAGAAATGGGTCTGAACCAAAACCAGTTATAGGAAAACACCAAACTCAGGGGAAGGGAACATCCAGATTTGTATCTTAACAGCTTTGGCCCAGCTCTTCAAAGGGATACCCAATGGGAGTTAGGTGCCTAAATACATTTGAGCGCCTGGGCCTTTGTGTTTAGTCTCTTCTTCTCTCATATAAGGCAAACCTAAATCCCAGTTCAAAGACCCCTGAACTTCAGGATTGCTGGGTTTGGATCTGAACTCTGTGGCTTGAGTAAGTACACGGTAACCCAACTTAACTGTACCATGTTCTCTCCTAACTGCAATCAACTTGTGTCACCGGCAAATGAAATGCATGAGTAATCTCTATCAGGAAATTGCTAGTCATCTCATTTATTAATATTAAAACAGATGCTATTTTACCACTGCCTGACACTGGACATTAATCAGTATTTTGTCAGTTAGCATGCATATTAATATCACAGCTGGGAGAGAGCTGCTGGAGGGCAGTTTGTAAAATACACTATACTTTCCCACTCATCGCATGCCAGTGCTGACACACAATAAGCACTTGTATCTGGCGTCAATCATTTACTTTTTGACACTTCAGTGCACATTTTTCCACAGATGGTATCCACCCACACTGGTACCTGAAAATACAGCAAACCATGTTTGCATTGAAAGGAATGAAGCAGAAAAACAAGGCCATCCCATCTCCCGCTCCAGTCAATCTCTTCCTTTACAAATTAAAAGTGGCTGTAAATCAGCCTTGCAGAATTATACTTGCTCACTTGGGGTGAGTACTATATATATTTTGAAGGGTGAATAAAATGTCATCATTCTTTATCATCATCAATCATCATGTTGAAGTATGGACAAGCAGATTTTGTGCTTCGGCTGTTAAGTTTTCTAGACAATTTTGCCTCCTCTCTCCAGTGCCCTGCCCCCTTTGGAATCTAATTTCTAGTCCATTAAAATTGTTCCAAACACCTTTATACATTTTGCTCCTGGTTATACAGGACGGAATTGTGCAGCCCTTACTGAGGCAGTGCTCTCACTGAGGTCAATAAGTAAGGACTGAAGGAGATAGCCCACCATGAATAGTTGCCATATAATTGGGAATAAAATGCATAACTCCAGACAACATAACTAGGAACAATAGCTACTTGATTTAAGGCAGTTGGGAGTGGGACAGAGTAAGAAGCCAGATTCAGAAGTGGTGGCCAAAGGAATAAATTACAGGACTTTAAACACCACTTTGCCTACATTTTCACAAATGAGAAATGACCTTGCAGCCAAACAAGAGAATTCTTGATAGGAAAATATCATTTTTTTACCTGACTCTAAATTGCCTCTATGTATATGCCTTTGGTGTAAAAAGAGTTAGCAATTAAAACAGTGGTCAGAATAAGCTCTACTGTGGGAAGATCTCCACAGATCCATGCTGGGGCTCTCCTCAGGCAGAGCTCCTCCCCAAATGCGGAAAGCAGAAACATGTATGGTGCCAGCCTCCCTCACCCAGCAGCTGTTAAGTGCAGAAAAGATTCTGTGGGGTTGCAAATGGAGCAGGAGCCTGGCGGCTTTCTATGGCACCATTCCGAGATTGTGTCAGATTTCCTATCAGAAG